GAGTTCCCGCACCCCCAAATCCCCGCCGATTTCCACTCCCTGTAGCACCACCCTGATTCAACCGCCCCTGCATCCGCCTCACTCCTCAGGCCCCCCGCTGCGCAATCTCTGGACCCCCCTGGTGCTCCGCCGGCCCAACTTCTGAAGCGGCCTCCGAAACAACTCTCGTCCTCCCAATCTTCCTCAAATGCCCGCTCAAGCCCCCAAAACCAAACACCCCAATTATTCCCCGCCTGCACTTTCTCTGCCACCAACTGGCTGAAAAAATCAAAATTTAATCCGCTCAGCCAAGCAAAAGCCCTGAAGATACTTTCCTTTGTTTAATTTGGTCCGCCTCAGCTTGCCATGTATATCATGTCATCAGTGTCAGCTACTGCTGAGACCCACAGCTACCGCCTTTCCTATAAAGACTCCACGCCGTAGGCTTGTTTTTTCTGCTGACAAAAGCAAAAGGATAATTTGCTCATCCCCAAAAGCCCTGAAGATGTTTTCCTTTGTTTACTTTGGCCCGCTCAGCTTTCTGGGTGCCCCATGCCATCAGCAGCTGGTGAGACCTGCTGCCCTTCCTTCACCTATAAAATCCCCACACCGCTACAACATGGCTAACTAGAAATATGGTTAGCACTAGTTGTAATTTTTGGGGATCAACTAAACCTACACTCAAGTTTATTTTTGCTTGGTTTTAGTTTTAAAAAAGTGTTGCTAACAGTAGCTTTTTGGTAGATTAGCTTAAGAAGCTAATGCTACTGGTAGTATAGCTTTCTCACTGTTGCTTCAGGCAAGGCTTCTAGGGTTTTTTTTCTTTTTTATCCTTGTGTAACTTTGCCTGTGAACCTCTACAGGGCCTGAGCTTAAGGGTGTTTCTTTATGTGGGGATTTTTCAAGCTATGAGGCTCTGTGGAAGATTGGCTTACCACACCAGCCTAAAATTTGGAATTGAGTCCCCATTTTTTGATTTATTTTTGAAGTTTCACTTATTTCAAATAATTCCAAGGTAACTTGGACTCCACAGCCTTCCAGATTAGTAGTGAAATATCTGTGACTTTTGATTACCCGAGTGCTCATCAACTCCCTGATCAAGATGGACAAAAGACAAGCCTCAAACAGCCTTTTTTTCTTGTCTTTTTTTTTTGGTGATTTGGTGGAAGGTGCCAGAAGAGAGTCATTTTCAATGCTGTCTGATGTGAGGGTTGGATCTATTACTTTTTTTTGCACATGGTGCATGGTGGAACTGTAGGATTAGTGTGATTGAGGGGATTGAAGTTGATAGAGGCTGGGAATTTTCATAGGAATGGATCTGGGGATGGAGGGAGTTGCCAGATGTGGAAAACTAAGCTCAGAATTTAGCAATGTATTCATAATAAAACCCAAGATAGAGACCCCGGCGAGTCACATTGCTAAAAGTAATTTAGCGCCCCCGGTGGAGTTGAGTTCATCTTTCCCAACTTTTACTAGGTTGAGTACAGCTCATATTGTTAACTAATATTATATCAGTCTAGCTATAATTTCTGTCATTTCCAGTTTGAATTTGTTTTAATGATCTGGTATAATATAATTCAAAGGTGCCTTCTAATTATATTAAATCAGTATATCTTGGGTTCTTTCAACTGGTAGTTTAGATTATTTGAAAATGAAGAATTTTCTGATGGGATTCAAACCCATGACCTCAAAATAGAGCCAAGAAACAACCTATAGTTATCCCTTTACCAACTAGGCTACAGAAACTGGAGTCATGGTTGCCATAGGTGGATGGGTGAAGTTATCATGGGTCAATGCAACAAAATTCAGAATTACTTTTTCTGGGAAAAATATTATATTGTTTCAAAATCAAACTAAAATGAAATCTACATGCACTTCAAGAAAAACTTCACTCATCCAGCAGCAGCTGACATGTATTAGTACAAATCACTGCAAAAAAAAAACTTGATCAACTGCATGCATTTGACATGCAGCATGCTCCAGCCAAGCTTCCATTCAAACTCCACATGTTTGCCTATGTAGAATTTATGGCACAGTGACTGTGCATCAAAGCTTGGTTGAATCACTTTTGGAGCATGGTTGGAATAATAACAGAAGCTTCCTGGGACTTTCTGCATGTCAACTGCAGGCAGTTGAGCAGGTTTTTTTTGCAGTGAATACTGCTTCCTACTTTTTCATGCCAACTGTTGTGAGTTGAGTGGTATTTTACTTCATTTAATATTTTTTATTAGACCTCATATCCATGATATTACAGCTACCATACATAACTTCAAAAAAAAAAAGGTGTCAGATTTTCATGTCTAGTACAACATCCTTCAAACTTATCAGAAGTCCCACCCTGGTGGGACCTTGTGGCACTGTGTGAGACTGCACTGTGGTACACTGCAGGAAGCAAATTTCTACTCATCCCGCAGGGACAAGCTTGTTCCACAATCCATGTTTTTTGGTTTATCAGTTTGTAATTTGAAACTGTGTACCTCCCAATCCTCCTAGCCAATTCCTGTGCCTTAGTGCCATCTGAGATAAATCAACCCCCACTTTAACATGGTCAAGATACCATCTTATCAAATTCAACAATGAAACTCCCATTATTTTCGAAAAAAAAAAGAAAGAAACCATCCTATCCAAACAGGAGGATCAACACAGAGTGGTAATGAAAATGCACTGCAGGTGGCTCTCCTTAAAAATTGACTCAAATATACATCTCATGGTATTAAGCAACAGGAAGCCATGGAAGTGAAGGGGAGGATATTGGATACAATTCCATTAAGACAGATTTTTATTACTACAAATGGTTGCCTTGGAAAAAATCACAATAAAGGTTTTACCCCAAAATTTGTTTGACTTAATGAGTAAGCCTCTCCTGTGGAGAGTGTCCTCAGGTGACAACCTGGGGATAGGCTTTGTTAAGCTCAAGCATCCTTCAGCCAACCAGCTGTATCAGAAGTGAAAGCAGCTAGTATAAATATTGTGAGTTGTGTTGATTTTACACAGGTTAAGTAGATCCAATGTCAGTCAAGATATAGATAAAATGAGATTTTGCATGGATCAAATATCAGTTCTGGTAAATAAAACATCAGTTTTTTCTGATGAAATATTAGATTTCTCAATCTGATTTAATGCTGACTGTGGTGGAAATAACTAACTTTCAGTAGTATAGATCTCTAGGTACAAAAGAACTCAATTTCCAAAATGGGTCAGCTTACAGGATTCTGATAGTCTGCACTTAAATCACAAGATGCTAGACAGGAATAAGTTGTTTGTGTGGTGACTTCAGATTGTCAGTTTGTGCCATTTTTTGGGTCATTCATCATCATAACTTGCATTTTGTTTCTACTGTCTTTCCCAATGCATTATGTTACACATCTTTTTAATTTCAATTTCTGAAACCTATAAGATGAGAGTTTGACACTTAAATTTTTGAGAAATAGCTTTGAGTCCACAAATGAATATTGCATGTCAGAGAAAGGGCAGAAAAATTAATTCACTGCCAACATGACTTGACCAGATTGGAAAATTCAGGAACATAAATTTTGGATGCCCACTGAGATGGTGAGTTTTTCTTGGTTTGAATCTTAATTATTTACGTCCGGCTTCATTGAATTCTGCATCCGCTGATCGCATCAATTAATCAGGAATATCTTTCTTTTTCATCTGGGTTTCGCTTTCCGGGACGAGTTTCTCAATCTGACTCCGGGATGTATATGGGTGGTTGGACCAAGCTGCAAAGGCCCCCGTGGCAGTAAGACTGATCCATGTCGAGGTATTTCTGGATGTGCTGAAGCTGTATTAAATTCGGCAGGTTGATGATCCGAAGGAGCATCAGGCTTACGTAAGTCTTCTGCCCTCCCTCCATTTTCAGCGTCGATCAGCAGAATTAAATGAAAGTGGCTGACTTGAACTTCTTCTTTGGCTTCCTTATTACCTCAGCCTATTTAACTCAGCGAGCAGCGCGCCCCACGCTGGTCATAGTGCCGCTTGAAACTCATCAGTGACAGTCGACTCACACACCCCCAACTCCGCCTACAGTATATTTCCTCCCGCCCCACCTCACACGCACACGACCCCCCACACACACACACACCCCACTCACGCACATACAGGGAAAGTACACTGCCCAGCACAGCTTTTTCGAAGCCGGTATAAGCCAACAGAACGGTCACCGTCGAACCAACCCCCAGTCGGCAATCGCACTGGAAGGTCTCGAAAACCCATTTTCTGTCTTAATCAGCCAGTCGTAATCAACCGACCACATTACTCAATTTCAGTCCATCTACTTAATCAGCCACCATGGAAAAATCTCAGCAATTGATCGTCTACGCAATCCATGACTTGTGCGTCAGCCACTTCCCCCTCAACATATATAAATAGACCCATTCACACTCATTCTCCCTCCCAATTCCAGTCAAGCCGAGAATCCCGATGAGCTGTCTTTCTCTGCCGGCGAGGCGATCGAGGTAACGGAGAAGGATGACTTGTACGGCGATGGCTGGTGGCAAGTCAGTCAAATAAGAAAATAAGATTGACTCATGAATAAATCAATAGATAAATATACATGTCACTTCCAAGCTGACTCTACCTTCCATCCATCCAGGGGCGCAACACCAAGGGCCAGTTCGGCCTATTCCCCCAGGCGTACACAATCCCTGCTCCCTCAGTCGCATCTGGCCAACAACTTGCTTCGTCCGCCAATCCATCAGCAACTTCTCAACCCACCATGCACGAAACCCTCTTCGAAGTACAGAATGCCATTGATCAGCTGCACCATCCATCACGTTCAACCAGCTCACTACCCCCCCCATCCCCACTTACCACTGAGTCAACCAAACCCTCCAAAGAGGCCGACGATGATAATGAGTCCAGTCACATCCACCCCCACAGCAATCCCGCCCAGGCAAGAGCCATCCTGGCTCAAAAAGCTCAGGCTGACTCCTACAATAACAGTCATGCCATGGTCATGGAGAAACTCAAGTCTGCTTCCAATCAGTTCCATCCAACCCATCGAACTAGTCTTAACTCGTTGGTCAGCGTCCCTGGAATCGGGGATATCGAACTTTCTGAAGAGAGTGACAGTGAGGACGACGACCATGATTCACTCGACAACCACGGAATCCCTCCCTCAGGCAGCTCAACTCTTGCTACAACTGATATTCAAGCCTCCAATAGCAAATCAACCCAACTGAAACCTATCTCACCAACCTTTCACCCATCAGCCCCCAAGCTGACCCATCGGCAATCCTCCGACTGTGCTCGCCAAACTGCCTTCAAACCAGGTCCGTTCTCTGCCGCTGCAATTGCTCTCGGTCTCACCGGCTCACCCAAGGACAAAGACAAGGAGAAGAACACATCCTTCCAAAAAGGTCACCATCATCAGAAGCCATCATCCTCCAGCCTTTTGAGCGACATGGGCCTCGACCTTAGAGAACACTTCAACCTGGTCTCAGCGCCCGTTGCCTCCACCCTTCGCATGAGTCGTGAATCTAGTCAATTTACCAACCTACCCACACTCACCGATTTGAATAATCGAATCCCCAACAGTGCTCCCTCAGACATTCATATTCACCCTAATGGTCCAACTACATCAACTTCGCGAGGTCCCGATGCTGAGCCCTCCTCCCCTCTAGAACGTCTGTCCGACACAGTAGCTATCCCCACCGGAACCCCTTTGGCTACCCGGTCACAAGAAAACTTGAAAGTTACCTCTTCCGACTCTCATCAACGTAAAGCATCCGCCTGTAGCACCGGAAATGGTATCTTTCCTTTGCATCAACAGCATGTACAACCTGCCAATCCATTTCAACCAATTGTGAACGATAGCAAGGCCTCCGTCTCAACCGCTGATTCATCCTCCGTCAAAGGCTCTCGTTCGCGATCTAGCAGCCATATTGAGCAGTTTGTATCAATCGAAGATCAACCCACCAGTCCAGCCACTAGTAATTTCCCTTCATCCGCTGGAGCCCGTCAAGGTGACGGTTCCTTTTCATCTTCCCATAGTCGACCTCCTAAGCCATTTGGCTTTGCTTCCTTTTCATCCGCATTCCCTGATCAATGGACGGTCAACGAAGTTTCCGAATGGGCTAAGGCTAAAGGATTGGACGAATTCACCGTTGCCAAGTTCATTGAGCATGAGATCACTGGTGACGTCTTACTTGAGTTAGATGTGAATGCATTAAAGGAAATCGATTTAACTGCCTTTGGGCGCAGAGTTAAAGTCATCAAGGCCATTGAAGAGTTGAAGAAGACCATGCTTGTTCAAAAACCAAACCAACCAAGCCCTTTATCACCTCTCTCAGATGGTATTCATCATCTCGCTTCATCCTCACTCGGTTCATCCCTCCAACCCTCTCCCTTACCTAATTCCCGGAAAGAATTCGGCACAAATCATGGCGTCCGTCTCAGCGTAAATGCCAAGCAAGATTACTCACCCTACCAGAAAGCTTATCATGCCTCAGTGGATGTGAGTGATCGAGAGGAACGTTTAGCCCACAAATCCTCTCGTGATTCTGCATCCAGGGCCTCAGGTTTCCCAGGCCATGCGAAGAGACCGTCTGACGCTTCTGGTTTCAGCTTCAATCGGCGGCAAGAGAACGAGCTTGGTAATTCCAGCCGTGAGGAGCTTGGAGCCACATCGAACAACGTTGGTTGTGTTTCGTCCCTTTTGGAATCAACTCCCTCAAGCATTGGGTGCTAACATTCTTCTATTTTTTTTGTCAGTTGCCTCCCGGGAACAAGCGCACCTCCTCCGG